AGTACAGATACACTACTAGCTGTCACACTAAGGTAAGTACTTATAAAAAAAAAAAAAAAAAAAAATAATATATATATATATATATACAGGGGGGGCATTAATTAGGGGCAATGTGGTATTTGCAATTGACAGGTTCTCTTGCCACATTATATGATTTGAAACCAGTAGATTTTATCTGTGGTTATAATCAATATTTCAATTTTATTGTTTCAGGTTACTTCTGAAGAGGATGTTGGAAAGGCTTTGGACTTGGTCAAAGACAAATTTAGTAAATTAGATGTTGCTGTCAACTGTGCTGGAATTGGAGTTGCTTTCAAAATATACAATTTCAAGAAAGATATGCCTCATTCTCTTGAAGATTTTAAGAAAGTGTTATTGGTACATCAGTTTTGTTTTCATAACGGAGAATCGTGGCAGGCTATTTGAATTCTGTGTTCTTGAAATGTATATCCTTGTAGAAAATGTTAAGTAAACTTAAGACTGGTTGTGTGAATATACTGTCTGTTAAAAAAAGGGACACATTTGGAGTGTGGTAATTAACATGTTTGATTACGTGTGTCCATTGTGTAGTGAAGGTGTTTTGAAGTTTACAGAGCTGCTGCAGCTGTAGTTAATGAATGACATTTAAATCATATGACATAGTGGATCAGAAACACACTGCATGCTTAATCCTCATTTTCTTTACTCGGGTAAATTAAGCAGGTCAACATATTACACCAAGTGTTTCACAGTTGTTAGAATCTGTTGAGCTCCCTAATTGCATCACTTAAGTTTTTTTTTCTAATGACATAGTGAAAATGGTAAAGATAGTTATGTGTCCAGTGAAAATTTATGAAAAATCATTTACTCTTTTCAATTTCTGTTTGATCTCTTATACACATATACACACACATATATATGATATCATTGTAAAAAAAGTTATATATATTAGTACTCTAGAGGTATTGATGTATGTTTCAGTCATTTACATACACAAGATGTCATGGGTATTGAGAAGTTGAAGCCATTTATTAAATAAGTTTTAACAATGAATATTTTGTGTGATTAATTCTAAAATGATATAATCAACATTGGTTTCTTTTAAACTAATATCAAGTGTGTGTCATATGTAAACATAGATCAGTTGTCTTAGTATAACAATGAATACTCTGTGTAATTAATGCTAAAATGTGATAATCCATTTATTTTTCTCTTAACCTAATGAAATCTATCATTTGTAAACATAGGTCAATAGTATTGGTACATTCAACGTAAATCGTCTAGCAGCTGGATTGATTGGAAAGAATGAACCAGATTCTGATGGTCAGCGTGGAGTTCTGGTCAATACTGCCAGTATAGCAGCATTTGAGGGTCAGATGGGGCAAGTGGCTTATTCGGCAAGCAAAGGGGCCATAGTAGGCATGACTCTTCCAATTGCTCGTGATCTTGCTTCCCAAGGGATACGATGCTGTACTATTGCACCAGGTTTGCTATCATCTTATCAGACTGTTTTTTTTTTACTGTGTATTTTTTACTACATTCATAATATAAGGATTGACTTTGAAAAACAATAAAAATTGTATGAATTTATCGTAAAGAATTGATTTAAAGATGAAGTGTATAGCTTTAAGAATAATGTTGTTTATACTTGCTTATATATGCACAATCACAGGATTGTCATATAATTGGATGATTGTTATTAGTTTTTAACACTCGTTTTACAAGCTTGTTCTGTGACTTTTTAGTGTATAGTTACATTTGTCACATACACATACAAAAGTTGATAACATGGTCTAAGCCAAAGGCTGTTAATTTGTTTCATGAAAATGTTTTTGCAATTATAATGTGATTTAGAAAAATAGTTTTTGTGATGCAAATAAAGTATATGTAAACTGTTGGGTAAAAGTGTATATTATATTCTATATATTGCAAGAAGGTGAAGGTCTTGATTTTTTTTTTAAAGGTTTATTTGATACGCCACTACTTGCTGGTCTACCTGAGAAGATTCGAACATTCTTAGCAAAAACAGTGCCTTTTCCAGGTCGTCTTGGTAATACAGAAGAATTTGCTCATCTTGTTCAGTTCATTGTGGAAAATCCAGTGATGAATGGAGAGGTAATAAGATTAGATGGAGCTCTTAGAATGCAGCCATGAAATTAAGTCGTTACGAAAAGTACAACTTATATTTTTCTAGTAAAGTATGTTAAACACCAGTTATTTCAGCACTATTTTTAAAATTGTTTCTTCTGAGTCTTAAAAACAAACAAAAAGTTTAAGATGGTCCAAATAATTTCAAGTATACATATATATATATATATATATATATATCTGCTGTACGTACATCCGCCTTGGTCGTACAGCAGACTACTGCTGTCACATAAGGTAAGCTTATTAAAGAAAAAAAAAATAA